TAACAAGGCTGCGGAATTTCATATCCGGTGTGTAAAATAATAAGCAGATATAAACACTGTAGGGACAATCGTCTCCTATTCCGCTTGTGTTACACATCTCCACACATGTTAAATACAACTTTCTAATCCCTGCATGCATGCATACGACATCCACTTTCTCCTCCGTTGAAATTTACAACCCTTGCATGTTATGCGGCCATCCATCGATCCCTTACATCGCCAATTAACACATGGCAAACACACGGCCTTTTCCTACGCAGCGGTCACTCATCCCTCCGAGATCTTTCCGATCATAAAAACTTTCTCCCAGGACCATGTACGCTGAATTCGGATTTTTCATGAGGCATTCAGTATCCCGAACTGGTAGAGAAAACCTCGAATCTGGGGAATCTATTCCGCGCCTAAGAACACACGCTTCGGTCTCCACACCAAACATACACGGGTTCACTCGTTATCGAACGCTATAATTGTTGTTTAAATAAATCTGAGTTAGTAAGAAGCGTCGGCTATTTTAATCGCCAGATTACAACACGTATGGGAAAATTTTATAAATTTTAAAATTATTTTTTAAATAGAAATTTTCATATTTATAAAAATCTTTCTCTAATTTTCTCTTTAATTCCTTTAAATTATAAGAACGAATTATTACGATTTATAACAATTGATATACAAATAATAAATATTCACCATCAGGTTGCTTCGCCAATGCAAGATGCCTCTTCCAGGTATCCTTCTCCTCTCATGTTGTTGGCGCGCGATACTTTGACGACACTCCCGCACTCGCGAGCGATATTTTCACATCGCTATTTTCGTTATTTTACGCGCGATACTGAACGGCACTCCCGCACTATTTCGATGCGATTAAAAATTTTATATTTAATCGCGCGATGTATATACTTAATATGTATATACCTTTAACGGCACTCCCTAATATGTATATACCTAACGCGACGCGTTGACGAAGCGCTTGCCGTCCGCGGCACGTTGACGGCACCGACGACGCGAAAGGATACTTAGCTTCCCATTCAGGCACCTTAAGATTTATCATAAATTGGAAAATTTAAGATAATCCTCAAGACACCGTTCAAGTACTAAGCCCTCCCACCACGACAAGGTGTACCCCATGGGAGGGTTATATTATATTATATATAATTTTATATATAATATAATATATAATTAATTTTGTAATACTATATAAATTTTAATTCGCAAATATAAACGATAATTAAAAATATAAAAGATAAGAGAAAATCTATTATATAAAGCAATGTTCAAAATAATTGTTAAAGAAAGAATTTGATAATATATGGAACGTCTCACATCCATCATCACTACCACTGCTCGAAGGCCACTGAGGGAATGATCGTAAATCAGAAACATTACTGCGGTACTGTTTACATTGCCAAGGTTGACTATGTAGAGAGAGAATTTGATAATATATGAAACGTCACTACTTTATTGTTCAAAGTTACTGTGCGAATGATCGTAAGTCATAAACATTACCGCGATACTGTTTATATCATCAAGGCCGACTTATACTATGTTATTGTTATAATTCGTCGTTGAAATATTCTATGATTGCCGATTAAGAAAATTTAAAACATTGGTCGAAATTTATTTAATTCTAAAAAGTATCGTTAGAGAAATTATTATAATAAGCATCAATAATCGAAAGATCATAATAAAATTAATTTCTTTATCCCCTTTTATATTCCCTTTTTCAATTTTTATTCGCAGTAATTAATGATTGCGATTCGATAAAGATTTATCGTTGCGATACATTTTCATGACGTTTACCATAAGTTAATTTATTTTTAATTATTAGTAATTATATCAAATTATGTTTTGATACTAATCGTAATTGTGTTTAGAAAAAAAATTCGACAATATGCGAAGCATTTCGCACCATTACTTTATCGCTCGAGTATCACCATGCGAATGATAATAAAGCCGTAACATATTAACAATAGTGCGCTATTGTTTATATTGCCAAAATCGAACACCGTATTATCGATAATTCGTTGCCGAAATATTTTACATACTATAACATATACTGTTATACAAAATATATGAAAATATTAAATTGTAGAAATTTTTTAATTTATAGATTAATTAAACGATTATTTATTGAACAATTAATTAACATACAAAGCATGTTACCCATCGTTACTTTACTGCTCGAATGTCACCGAAAAAATGAAGCAAAACCGTAACGTACTAACACGCTATTGTTACGTCATCAAAGTCGAACATAATGTTATTGATAATTCGTTGTCGAAATATTTTATATACTATAAAACAATTTATTGATTAAAATTAATTATTTATTAATCAATTTATCATGGAATCTTTCGTTATGCTAATTATTTGCATCTATAATTCGATTGTTTTACTTCGTGTTCTCTCATAATCCAAATTATATTCATATGTCAAATAGAACGATAAAGTAACACGGATGAAATATATTTGTGACTCTAAGCATTAAAATAATAATTATTGTCCGTAAAAATGGCAACGAAATGATTATTTACTATCTTACAATTAAGATTTGTATCACTTTGATTTTTGATTAAATTGTACAATCGCTAAGTATGCATTTCGAGATATATCGTCGCGAAGTAATTTTACGTATTATTTAATATATATAAAATTATGGATTAATATCAAATTATTTCTCAATATACTTATCAAATCATTCGCGTTTAGAAAAGGAAGTTGACGGATCTTCTCGCGTTATTTTTCTGCTCAAGTATCATTGTGCGAATAATAAGAACCATAACACTTTTAAATATCAATGCGTTATATGTTGCAAAGATCGGACGCGGTATTATTATTAATTTGTTGCAAAAATATTTTATATATAGCATACATATACGCGCGAAACATTAAATTAATTTAGAGAAGTATTTTAAATTATTGATTAATTTACTATACGATTGATGTATCACGAATCTCTATATTAATCTCAACTTTGCGATTTGATTGTCAGACTGAAAACAATAAGCATATTTAGTCAAATTAATATTTTTTTTATATAATATCTACATTTATGTTATGATTATTATATGAATAAGACATCTAAATAATTTTCTTTTTTTAAGAAAGAGAAAGAGAGAAAGAAGAAAATGACTCGCAGTAATATTAATTTCGAACATTTACATAACAATTTCGAAAACTTCCTCTGATTATTTGTTATAAATGTAAACGCTAAACACAAATTAAGTACGCAAACAAACAGTATTTTTACAGATCCCTTTATAAAGCAAAGTGTCCAAAATAAATGATTTTGAGAAACTAATTATTACGCCCTATTTATATTTTTTTTTGTCCGTTGAACAGATATTTAATCATCAAGTGCACAATTATCGAAAAAATTGTTCTTAAGTATAACTTTTAAAAAATCTAATGAATAAAAATCTAATTCTTTTATATAAAATATGTAAATAAATATATTATAAAAAATATTTTATAATGTATCTATTAAATGTTAATTTATCCATAGTTAATATTATAATAATTAAATGTTAATATATTACAATGTATCTATTAAATGTTAATATATCCATAGTTTTCATGTATAAAAATATTTTATTTTATAATTTTAAATATTTGAAATTAAAATGTGGAATGTATGTTATATATATAATATATGTGTCATATATTACATGTACGTTGTATTGCATGATAATTTAGAATAAATATCACTATCCAGACAATGAAAAAAGAACAAACAATGTTTATTATGTATGAAAATAATATATAAATAATAAAATTACTTATCGCGCGCGCGTGTGTGTGTGTGTGTGTGTGTGTGTGTGTTCCGTTGTCCAATGCTTTTCCAGATTTTTTTTTCTCCCTTGTATATCTTCACTGTTTCCTGGTGACACTCATCCGGGTAAATATAATTAATTACAATTAGTAGAATACGATTAATTTCCAAAGTCTAATGCATGCGACATTTTGCATGCTATTCTCGATCGCGGAATAATCATATGAAATTCACACTTTATTATATCATAAGAGCAACATTTATACGAAATTAATAATATAACAATAATAAGCAGAGCGAATAGTACTAGTACTATTGATGTATGTATATATAGTATATATGCATAAAATACAAATCTCGTAAAATCAAAAATTAAAGTAATGAAAAATCGTGATATAACTATTGTTTAATTAATAATTAATTTATACTTGCTTTTTAGAAAAATTTAATCAAAAGATACTTGTTAATTATAATAATTCTAACGAATTATGTTGCAATATTAGTCACGATCGGGTTGGAAAAAGAATTTGATATACGAAGCATTTCGCACTACTTTATTATTCGAATGTTACCGTACGAATGATGACAAAGCCGTGACATGTATAGCTCGCTTGCTATATACGTCATCAAGGTTAAACATGATATTGATAATTCTCTGCCGAAATATTTTACGTACTACATATACACGTGTAATTTTAAATTATAAAAGTATATTTTATTTTAAATTAATTAATTATAAACGATTGATGTATCACGGAACCTTTTATGCTAATGATTTGAATTTATTCGATTGTTTTATCGCGCTTCTTCGAGTCAAATTTTATAATATTTAGTTTTGCATTTTAAAACACTGACTTAGAGCGAATTAAATAAATAAATAAATAAATAAATAAATGATGTCGAGAAAAAGAAAAAGAAGACACATAAATAAATAAATATATAATATAAGTATATAATATAAATATATAATATAAATAAGCGTGAAAAGAGAAAACATACTAATATATTTATATAATAAATTATTATTAATTAAATTATTTATATTTTTATTTATATTATTTATATTATCAAAGGGACATATGTTATCCTCTGAGAACATTCGTGGCATTGATTTGTTGTAGTTCATGTCCACGTTTTTGATGTCCACAGAGGGAGCATCGCTTCCAGGGATCATCTGAAAGCCGGCCATGACATCTCTCAGTCTTCTCTCTGTTTGACATTTCTGCGCAATTGGGCGATCAGCTGATTACTTTCTTATCGAGTGATGGACTTTTGTCATGCTGCGAATAACGTGATTTTTAGCGTTAATATAATGGCTTTGATTATAAAGTTGAGATTGATAAATTGATATATAAGTCACATCCGATTGATATTAAGAGCTCGAATTGAGTATTTGAGGAGAGGTAAAGAAGTTAAAATTGCGGAAACATGCCTCAGGGAAGACGGAAAACTCCATTCAGCGGCAAAGCCAAGAAGCTGCAAATGCAGGTTAAAAAACAACGTCAACGAATTTCGTTTGGTATATATGTTAATATCTTTATTAAAGATTTTAGTGACATTTGGAAAGTTTAGAATAAGAAATCCCGATTTCTAACGATTTTATTGTTTTTAAAATGTTATCTATATAAAATGTTATACAAATATTTTGATATATTTTTTTACCTCTCTTTTTTCGTGTCATAAATCTATTATTTTTTTATCTTTCTTTTTATATATCAAATATAATGTAAACATAGATTTACATCAATTTATAATTTTTATAAATTTAAAGATAACAGAATTTTTGCTTGTGCTTTTGAAATTAAAATCTAGACTTATATTATTAATTTTTAAAGATACAGGTCATATTGATCCCATAGATATTTTATTTAATTATAGTGATAGATAGCAATTTATGATTATAAAATATTATTATAAAATATATAAAATAACAATATATATTTATGTTTATATATTTGCCACAAATCAAGATGACGATGAAGATGAATGCTCTAGCAATGCGAGCAATACAGAGTATGGGAGACAAGTACAAAAAATAAATAAGCAACCCAGGGATAATAAATCTTCAGGGAATAGATATACACTACAATTTTTTCAAGAGACTAACGAGGAATTGCGAAAACGCAAAGAACAAGCCTTAAAAAGTATTGAGTCTGTGAGCCTCAAGGATCAAGAAATTTCCGACAATTATTTTCCACCTGGGATTGACATGCCAAAGCGGCCTCCGTGGGATTTTAATATGACGAAAGAGCAATTAAATATAAGAGAACAGAGATATTTCACAGTATGCAATTGCAAATCTGTGTTAAACAAAATTATATTTTATGTTGAATTTACTTTTAGCTAACAATACAATTCTTTGTATTTAGGAATACTTAAAGAACATGGAAGAATTAGGTACCTTGAGTTATTTTGAGTTGAATTTAGAAACCTGGCGACAATTATGGAGAGTCTTAGAGATGTCAGATATTCTGTTGATCATTGTTGATATTCGATATCCTGTTTTGATGTTTCCTCCATATTTGTACCATTATGTGACTAACAAGTTGCAAAAAGATATGATTATGGTGTTAAACAAAGTTGATCTAGCGCCTCCAGCCTTGGTAGTGGCTTGGAGGGAATATTTTCGCAGTCAATATCCAAAATTACACATTTTAATGTTTACTTCATATCCTACTTATAATCTTCGTGGTAATACGAATAACGAGGAGGGTATACAGAAAAGACGTCGTAGGGGAAAATTACGAATGGCCGCAGAAGGAGCGCAAAAGTTGTTGGAGGCTTGTAAAGACATTGTCAAGGACAAAGTTGACCTGAGTTCCTGGTACGAAAAGATTCAAGAGGAGATGCATTTAGAATATGATCTAGATGATATAGACCATAAAGATAATATAACAATAGAAAAAGAGGACACTACTTATTTCGAACACGAAAAATATAAAAATGGAATTCTGACCATTGGATGCATTGGAACGCCAAACGTTGGAAAGTCGTCTTTAATGAATGCACTGATGGGTATGCAAAACTTTTCAATCTATAATCAATTTCTTAGAAATATTTATATTCTATATTAAATATGAATGATTTGATTCTCTAAATTAGGAAAATAAAATCGTATTGAGATTCATAACAAAAGATTTCAGTGTCAAAAAATCTTATTATTTCTCTCTGCTTGTTTTGCAGGCAAAAAAGTTGTAAGCGTGTCTCGCACACCTGGCCACACCAAACACTTTCAAACTATTTATCTAACAAAGACTGTGTGCTTGTGCGATTGCCCTGGTTTAGTTTTTCCTTCAACTGTACCAAAACAGTTGCAGATATTGATGGGTTCGTTTCCGATCGCCCAAGTCAGAGAACCATATACGACTGTAAAGTTTTTAGCTGAAAGGATGGATTTACCAAAATTGTTGAGGATTCCTCATCCAGAAAATGATGATACGTGGTCCGCTATGGACATTTGCGATGGTTGGGCAATTAAAAGGGATTTTAGGACAGCTCGAGCGGCTAGATTGGATACATATAGAGCGGCGAATTCGCTACTACGCATGGCTTTAGAAGGAAAAATTTGCTTGTACATATATCCACCAAATTGGACCGTTGATAAAAGTATTATTCTTCTTTTATTCTTTTTTATTGATTAAAATATTTTCTTTGTAAAAATTTATTCGATAAAATATATTATTGAAAATACTTTAATAATTTAAAAATTATAAAAGATATTTTTGAGAAATTGTTCAAATTAAAGACAAATAATTTTTTTATGCATTTTTTTTTTTTTTTCAGAAAAATGGGAAAGTCATTCAGATGTTGAAATAGTAAGATGGATTCAAGCTAGAAATCGAGGAGATGAGCTCGGTACACCAACTGAATACGTATCTTCTGAAGACGAAGAAATCTATAACGAAAAGCAAGAACAAAAATTTCGAGATACAACGAATAATGATTCAACGGAATCGTCGAGCGAGGAAAACGATATGCCGCTTGTAGCTAATAAATTTTCAGCATTGTCTACTGAACAATAAAATGATTTATTATTTTACGTCTTTCAGATTTTTTATTTTTATCTTTTTTTATACACATAGATTTCTTCTTTAATGTACAATGAGCAATTTGCTGATGATAGTGAAGAATAGTCGACTGAACTGTGTTTTCGCCCGCGAAACACAATCATCACTATGACAGAACACTACGAGTAAAAATAGATCATTTTATACAAGCCACTACTCTATTACATTTTTCTTGTTTTCAAGGTAGTTTCACTGTGCGCATGAGTTATTTACAATGTAATTCTAGTTTGCAACTATTCTGGTGTTACTTTGGTCCACTATGAACTGATAATCGAGTAAAGATTTTTTTTTACTATAATAAGCTACATCATTGCACAACTTGTACAGAGACGAAGTTATTTTATACATCATTAAAATTATCTAGAACGATACATTTTTATGTAAATAATTTCCACTATTCTAAAATAATTACAATATGAAATAAATGTAAGAATGATAAATGATTTCTATAATTTTCTAAAAAATATTTTGTTCACTTTGATATTTTATACAAAGCGGATATTTCTCAATTGAGATTTTTATAATATTTGCTCAGATAAACATCCTGTATTCATTAATTTTACTGAGATCCATTTATAGAGTTTAATATCCATTTATCTAATCGCTATAAAATAATTTTCACAAGTCAACGTCAAAGAAGAATTGAAGAAATTAATTCGAACATATTAATTTACGTTGATTTTGTGGAACGTAATAATATAGTAATACGAGTATATATATTTTCAAGTCAAAAATTGTTCTCTATCAATTGTACATTGCGATGAATAGCATTTAAGCTCCTAAAATCTTTTTTACGGAGTAACCTGGTATTGCGTAAAAGAATAACAGCATAAGTATAATCAAACCGATCGCGACTATAGCCTTCAAGATAGCCCATTTGTAATTGTGCCAAACTATGTATTTGATGGACTTTAGCGGATTGAGAAACCACATAAAGGACGCGTCTGGTCGACTGCAAAAAATATGAAAAATAAAAGCAGATTAAATATAAATATAAAGAGACAGAAGAATTATTATTCATATATATTATATTATTATACTTTGGTTTTTCCAGCGGATCCGGCTCGTTTCTACCAAAACCAGCAGGATTTTTCTCGGCCTCTTCTTTCGTGAGCAAATGTATCTCAGCTTCCACCTTGCCCTGTACAAAGTATAATGATATACACTTACAAATTTATTTTTCATATTATCAACTTACTGTCAGTTCCATATCCTCGTTTTCTTTCTTCACATAAAATGGCCACCAGCCTTTTATACGTTTCTGCTTAAAGATATTGACTGTCGGCACAGAACCGTCTGTTTTCAACATGCTCAACGAGCAAAGTTTACTATTCTTTGCTCCTCGAGGAAACCGATTGAGATCGAGAGTTATAGCACCTAGAAAATCGTCGGCAGAAAAATGATCTGCATCCCAGACCTGCAAAAAGCGTCGTTATTATACAGCGTGTGTCAAAAGTTCCGGGACGGCTGGATAATTTGAAAAATACGCATCACAGAGGAAAATGACAAAAGTTGTAGGATTTTTCCCGGGCAATCCGACGGTGACCTTAGATTTGACCTTGGATAGTCATTTGAAGGTCACATAAAGATTACCTTCAATTTCTTAAATGGAACCCCCTATTTTTCATTGCATATTCTTGTAGCTTATCTCGAGAGCTTTCCAAAACACTATAATTAAGTACCTTTTTATTAAGTACTTTTTGAGTTATAAGGCTTGAAATAATTTCTTAATTTTACATAAACCATAAAATATCTAGTAAACCATTCATTTTTCGATTATCTTACCTTCATACTTTTATGTACAAAATAATGAGAGGAATCAATTGGTGTAAAGAAAACACATAGTTGTTTCTAAGAAAAAATATGTAATTTGCAATTAACAATTCCATATTTTTTCTTAAAAACAACTGTATGTTTTCTTTACACCAATTGATTCCTCTCATTATTTTGTACATAAAAGTATAGAAGGTATATAGGTATATAGGTATATATAGAAGGTAAGATAATCGAAAAATGAATGGTTTACTAGATATTTTATGGTTTATGTAAAATTAAGAAATTATTTCAAGCCTTATAACTCAAAAAGTACTTAATAAAAAGGTACTTAATTATAGTGTTTTGGAAAGCTCTCGAGGTAAGCTACAAGAATATGCAATGAAAAATAGGGGGTTCCATTTAAGAAATTGAAGGTAATCTTTATGTGACCTTCAAATGACTATGCAAGGTCAAATCTAAGGTCACCGTCCGATTGCCCGGGAAAAATCCTACAACTTTTGTCTAGGTCATTTTCCTCTGTGATGCGTATTTTTCAAATTATCCAGCCGTCCCGGAACTTTTGACACACGCTGTATATCGGAATGAAATTGCGAAAGTAATGATTGCACAGAAAAAAGGACATTCTTGTTTCGAAAATATATTTAGTTTTAACATGGAAATCTTGAAATGAGATTATATTCCGTTAATTAAAGAAAAATATAATTGCTTGAATAATTGATTACTTGAATGAAGCCATTTTATATAGTTCAATCAAGAAAAATATATTCTTACGATTTAAGATTTAATTTTCTCGAATGGAAAAGAAACAATGTTAGATAGAAAATAACATTTTTAAATCAAAGATTATAATTTTCTTAAAGTAGAATTAAATAATTATATATTCTTGAGGTGAGAATTACAAAATTAAAATAAGACTGTAATATTGTTGAAATTTAAAATTATTAAATTCTTCTAAGAAGGTTATAAATTGTTGCGTATGTACGAAACAATGTTGGATGGAAAATAACATTTTTAAATCAAAGATTATAATTTTCTTAAAGTAGAATTAAATAATTATATATTCTTGAGGTGAGAATTACAAAATTAAAATAAGACTATAATATTGTTGAAATTTAAAATTATTAAATTCTTCTAAGAAGATTATAAATTGTTGCGTATATATGAAACAATGAACACGTTAATTTAAGTATATAAGTTTTGATTTGACACTTATTTTTTTTCTGTGTGTGCACGTTTGGAATTACCTGCAATTCTAGACGTGCTGGTATCTTGCACTCAGTTTCGTCCCAACTAAACAGGCTTTCTTTACGATTAATAACAATCTTTTCTTCCGCTACTAAATAATCAAATGGAAATATGAAACGCCAGTTGAAGTTTCCTTCGCCGGTCAATGATCGATAATGAATGTCAGTGGATTGACAATCTTCCGGTCCTTTAAGCCATCTATTCGAAAGCAATGAATATGTAAAATAACTTTCTCTCTCTTTGTTTACGTATATAATTAATATATAATTATTAAATAAATATGTGATTATTTCAGGAGTAAAAGAAATTTACCCTTTTACATAAATATCGCTCATCTTCTCGCCAGTAAAGAAGGCGTCATCTTCTAGGACGACATCATCTGTATTCCATATTATAATTCTCAATTCATAACTCTTAGGCTTTCTAGGTGAAATATCGAGAGATGGTCCAGGTGAAGGCATGTCCATTGGAAACATGTCCACCCACATTTCCAATTTTCCCTGCTCAATTCCAGGTTTTTCTGGATTATAGAGCGGTCGGGTTTCCACGTGTTCAGGTATCAGAGCGCAACCTATTCGAGGAAAGCTGCTCCATTGATGGAGAACTGCTAAGGCAAGATGTTCTTCCATTCCTGGAAAAATAATTAAAAAATACTTCATATTAAAAAATACTTCATATAGCATAATCGAAACTGCACATGTAAAAGCTTCTTTAATTTCAGTTCATTAATCATATAATATTAATCATATAACATAATAATAATATAATAACAAGTAAATACGTATAGAATAATAAATAAAAATTATAATCATAGAAATATATATTAATTTAGAATTGAATCTAGAATTTTTTTTATAAAATCTTTCAAATACCTTTCGTATGCACGTAATATTCCATTTCCTCGTTCGAGAGAGAAAATGTTTTTCTCCCGATTGTAACACGTCCGTGAGAATATACTGGTCCATCGATTTTACCATCTTTACATAATTTAGAAAGTATCTGAGTCGGCTTCATCGCATCTCTCCATTTATTATATCCAGTCCTAAAGCAAAAATAACATATAATCAATTTCGTACATCAGATCTTATTTCTTAAATTTAATTTTCTTATCTTAATATATGTTGACGTAAACATATAATCTATAAAGTGTTAAATTTTAAATAATATATGCAAATGTAACGCGAACGTAAAAGAGGACGATGAATTAGATTAAAAGAAATTGCGATAAAAATAATTTTTAGTTCAGAGAAGCTCATTAAAAGTAAATCACAGTATTTTGTTCTTTGTGGATTTGCTAATTTTAAATAAATGATTGTTGATGAGATAAAAAAAAGGTCGCTCCGTTGCTAGATGCTAGATTACCAAATTGCGTGACACGATTTGTTTCACTATTAAGGTCTGAAATTTATTTGCCATATACGTGATATAATCGCTACCCATTAGACTTACTCGTCATATTTCTTCGTGAGTCCGCACGTAGCGCGATGTCTGCTATAGAAACGATTTTCTAGATCAATCTTGGTCTCTCCGATCATATCATCTGTTCCAACCAGGTCCCAATCTAGAACTTGCACAGTGAGCAGAGAGTCTTGTGGAAACGTAGCCTCGATCTCAAAGCACCTTAAAAAATGCGAATTCGCAATTAAATTAAAAATGAACATAAATAACTTTAATTTGTTCTTTGAGATGAAAAAATATGGAACGCAATATCAAGTGTAAAACGTTAAGAATGTTTTGTACCTATTTTCAAAATATTGAGAATTTAATGAATTAATTGTACAGAATGTTTTTACATACGAGTTTAGAATCTTCAGTACAATTTTTAAATCGATTCACTAAAGCGTTCACAAGTTATAAGGATTTTAATTTGCACCGAATTAACATGTGTTCTTATGGGAAACGTATAACCACGTCGATTCAAATGACAAAAACACATGGAAATAATATTCAGAATTTGTTTAAAATTTGCAAAAGTTTAGATACAGAGGAAATATTTGGTCAAATAATATCATACAAATACTAACTGATTAAGAAGATATTAAATATAATTCAATGAAGTTAACCATGTATTCGTAACAAGGCGAAATTCTCTGCCAAAGTTAATCATTTTGATTAACAAAATTCGAAATATTTCATTAAAAACGCAATAAATATTAAAAAATACATCTCTGCACTGTACCTAAGATCAAATTGTAATATTCCACGCAATTTCTCATACTCAAAACACACCAAAAGTGGATATATTCAATATTGATTTTCAGCTACTTTTTGCTGGAATTGTACATACAAAACATTCTTAAAACGAAATGCAAATTATTAATGATTAAATGTAATTGAATCTTGTAATACATTTTTTCTTTCAAA